TTGGTACCAGGGATCGAACTCAGGACCTTGTGATTGCAAATCAGGCGGCAGAACCACTGAGCTAAATCCCTAGCCATGACTGATACAATTTTTATGTGTCATGAAATGGTCTGTCCTGGGTCCCCCCCCATATAAATATTTGCCAATACAAGCAAGGGTTTTTGTTGTTGTTGTTGTTGTTGTTGTTGTTGTTTGGTACTGGGGATCGAACTCGGGCCCTTTCGCTTAGTGAGGGAAGCACTAAGCCAAATCCCTGGCTCTCTGTTATACATTTCTGAGGATAGTTTTAGATTTAAAGAATTCTGGTGGTACACAGAATTCAATGCATGGTATATACATCATGATGTATCCTTTTGGATAAATTTTTTCTTCGTTTAGAAATGTAAAAGGACTCAAGGGCTGTACATAAATAAGCAGTGAGCTAGATGTGGCCTGAGGCTTTTGGTGATCTCTGCCCTAGAGTCCAGACAGTGAGTTTAACCTTGTTTGGAAGACAGGAGAGTGCTCTCTGGTGGCAAGTTTGTGTGTGTGCACATGTGCGCACGCACTCGTGAACATGCTTTCTGCCAACCGCTTTTTGTGTGTTTGTTTGTTTGTTTGTTTTTAAGACAGGGTCTCAGTATGTAATTCTGTCTGGCCTTTAATTCACTATATACTCCAGGCTGGCCTCGATCCTCTTGCCACAGTCTCCCCAGTGCTGGGATTACAGGCATGTGCCACCACCCCCAGCTAGCCTCTGATTTAGAGGATGGTGACTTCCTTTCTTTTGTGAGTCTAGGATCTACCCCTAGTGCCACTGAGAGCAGGACCACTGCTCGGCCCATCACTGTATCACTGGAGGATGCCTTTTAGGTCATTCACTCATGACATACAATATCCTATGCTCAGTTGAGTTGAGGACATGAGCTTCCATTGCTGCCTTGTTGGTGTGGTTGGCAGTGCCTGGGCTCTGGCTTCTGGTGAGAACTGATATTTTATAAAGGTTTGCCTAGGGCACAGCTAGGCTGGCCTCCTGGCTGGCATTCCATTGCCAGCCAGCTTCCTTGGGAGGATACCACTTTTTCCTGGCCCAGTGGAGGAAGCCAGCTTCACCTTGGAGGGAACTCTGAAGATGCTTGGCCCCCATAGTGTAGGAAGTGAGCACAGCAAGAGGCACCTAAGGGTTCTTCCTGAGCACTACTGTGACCATGGCTGTCCTGGCTCCTGTGGAGCCAAGTGGCACCTGTCCTTCCGGGGGTGTTTCAGGCACTCTTGTTCTGTCCATGAAGCTTTTGCCTGTTTTTGTTTCCTCAGGTACATATGGGAGTGGTGTGGCCAGCTGGCAAGGTAAGCCGTCTAGGGGGTCTGCAGGTACTCACTGGGCTCTATACAGCTACACCTGTCCCAGCCTGACTGCTTGCAGCTCTCCTGAAGTTGGGAGGACAGGACAGGCCATCCGGGAAGTTTGTGTGGATTTCTTGGCTCTCTTCATGAGTGTGAGGCTGGCTCTTACTGCTGTTTGAGCACAAACTTGTTAAAAAAGGATCGTGGTTGTGTCGGTGAGAGCAGGAGCTCTCAGGTGGGTCTATCAACAGCCACCATTGCTGTTCCTAGGGTGCTCAGCCACCTCTGGTTTGGGATGGGGAAATAAGTTATAAGGTCTTTCCTAGGAAACTCTTAAGAGCTGAGGCCTCCTGTCCCTCTGGCCTCCTCTTGTGGCCTCTTGACAGGTCGTGTGCCAGCAGCAGTTGGTGCTGTGAACTTTGTTCTTTTCAGTGGATAGTGGATATTATGCGTATATGCATCTTCTAGACCAGCTTTATGACTACTGAGGTCTGACTTCCCTCCTTTTCCCTCTGATAGGTTATGACAACTACAATTATTATGGTGCCCAGAACACCAATGTCACTGCAGGAGCAACCTACAGCTATGGCCCAGCTTCATGGGAGGCCACCAAGGCCAGTGATGGTGGCCTGGCAGCCGGGGGCCCTTCCATGCACATGGCCTCTTATGGTCCAGAGCCATGCAACGACAGTTCAGACTCTCTCATTGCCAAGATCAACCAGCGCTTGGACATGATGTCCAAGGAAGGAGGCAGGGGCGGGAGCGGCAGCGGTGGGGAGGGCATGCAGGACCGGGAGAGGTGATTATGAATCTGAACCCTTCCCTGGGGAACCCCTGCCAGCACAGCTCTGTGTAGATGGGAATGGGCATCTGCTCCTCCTTTCCTCTCCTGAGTGTGGCAAGATGAGCTGGCCCATTAAGGGTGGAGGGCAGACCATTGCAGTTCCCTCAGTTGCTGGTTTCCTAAGTGGGGGGCTTGGGCTAAGTTGCCTGGGATTTCTTATTTCTGTATCATGCTGTTCTGGGTTCTCATGGTCAAAGGCTCCATGACCTTTGTTCAGTGATGCTTGAAGTGGGGTGTTGGTTGCTTTGCTTTCTGAGCATTGATAGGTTTTACTTTCTTTGTAGCTCCTTCCGCTTCCAGCCGTATGAGTCCTACGATTCCAGGCCTTGCTTGCCAGAACACAATCCCTACCGCCCCAGCTACAACTATGACTATGACTTTGACCTGGGGACCGACCGAAATGGCAGCTTTGGTGGGCAGTACAATGATTGCCGGGACCCAGCTCGAGAGCGAGGCTCCCTTGATGGCTTCATGCGAGGCCGGGGTCAGAGCCAAGGCCCAGGCCCAGGCCCAGGTCGCTTCCAGGACCGGAGCAGTTCTAGCACCTTCATGCGCAACGACCCTTTCATGCCACCCCAAGCCGCCTCTGAGCCTCTGTCCACTTCCTGGAATGAGCTAAACTACATGGGTGGACGAGGCTTGGGAGGACCCTCCCCAAGCAGGCCACCTCCTTCCCTCTTCTCCCAGTCCATGGCTCCTGACTATGGCATGATGGGCATGCAGGGGACAGGTGGTTATGACAACACCATACCTTATGGATGTGGCCGATCACAAATTCGAATGAGGGATCGGGTGAGTATCCACTGTTTGTTAGGCTTCCTTGGCTTTCCCTTTCATCAGCTTCCTCTATTGAGCTAAAATTTATATGCTACAAGACATAGCAGCTTTAAGTTAGGGTTCCGCTTTTAGCAAATTCATGGAATTGTGCCATCATCACCACAATCTAGTTTTAGAACATTTCCAGCAACCCAGAAAGAAATGTACCGGTTAGCAGCAGTCTCTCCCTGTGGTCCCTGCCGAGCCCAGACAACCACTCATCTGCTTTCTATCTCTGGCTTTCCTGCTTCTACACATTTTCATATCAGTAGAATCACACACGTGGCCTTTTATGTCTGGCTTCGTTCATTGAGCATGTTGTTTTGGAATTTTAACTGTGCTGCCTCTTAACTTTTTTTTGGTATCGGGGAGCAAACTCAGGACCTTGTCCTTTTGAGGCAGGTGGCTGTACCACTGAGCTAAATCCCCGGCCTTGTCTCTTAGCTTTTTGAAAAGGCCTTTTCCTGCGTTTGTTCTCTGATCTTGCAAACTCTCTGTTCTTTACTTCTCTGGAGTATTTTAATGGTCCAGGGAAGTGGTACATGGGATGTGCTTGTATCTGTAGCCCAGGAGGAGAGGGTTTGACCGCTTTGGACCAGACAGTATGGGCAGGAAGCGGAAGCAGTTTTCTATGTTTGAGGAGCCGGACACCAAGCTGGCCCGTGTTGACAGCGAAGGCGATTTTTCGGACAATGGTACATTTGGGGCCCAGCAGGCTGGGTGGGTATGAGATAAGTCCATTCCCTGCCTGGAGCACTCCCTACCCTGTCCAAACTGTGTACCCGTGGTTATTTGGTGTGGCTTTTCCTGTTGTCCCTTGTGATCAGGACAGGCTATCACTCAGGTCACTGCTTGAGAGCAAAATGGAATGAGTCCACCTGCCCAAGGACTGACTTTCTATTCCCTTATGTCTGGCAGATGATGGAGCTGGTGACTTCCGGTCAGGAGATGAAGAATTTCGGGGTGTAAGTTCACCTTATGGGTCAGCCCCTTTGGTCTCCGAGGGCCTCTTTGTTACTCATTCTCACAAAGGTAGAGTAGTTACCCTAGTAGGCTCCATTCTATACATCTCCGAGTGGATTTGGTGCCCTAATTTGTAGCTAGATTTCTAAGTGTTTCGACTGCAACAATTATTCTTTTCCTAAAAAAGTCCCAGAACCTTCCCTGCCCTGTCCTGTGTCCTTGTAGTGTTGGGCCTGGCCACTTATGTGGTAAATGCAGTCTGGCAGACATGTACCAGAGGCTCATTGGCTGCTGGCCGTGTGCCAGATGCAGCTGGCTTGTGTCCTCATCCTTCAGTCCTTGTGCTGAAAGCAGTGTTTGCCCACTTCGTAATGGGGACCATACCACACCATGGAGGTTGCCTTCCCTGGTATCTGCAGATGCTATGCAGAGGGTAGGGCCTGAAGACACCAGGGGCCTGAGAAGGCTGCTCCCTGGTACTTAGGATGGCCAGACAGTTGATGGGGCAGGGAGTGTGAAGAAGCAGCACCTCTCTGGCTCTCTCTCCATCTGGCTTGGGGAACACACATATGAACTCCAAGGGAGTCCATGGCTTAGCATTCAGACTGAAAATCTGCTGATTGCTAATTTAATCTTAGGCTTGATCAGTTTCAGTTAGGAATCTTGTCTATCCATATCTCTTTTGTTAGAACACTGAGTGATGCTTTGGTAAAACCCATTTTCAGTCAAGAATGGTGGAATAGCTGGGCATGGTGGCCTATGCTTATAATCCCAGCACTTTGGAGGCTGAGGCAGAAGGATTGCCATGAGTTTAAGGCCAACCTGGGCTACATAGTGAGTTCAGAACTAGCCTGAACTAATAGCAAGATCCTGTCTCAAACAAACAAAGGTAGAATTAAGCCGGGTGTGGTGGCGCACACCTGTAATCCCAGCATTTAGGAGGCTGAGGCAGGAGGATCACTGTGAGACCAGCCTGGGCTGCATAGTGAGTTCCAGGTCAGTCTCAACTACATAGTGAGACCCTGTCTCAAAAATGATAGAATTAGCATCACACAAATCAGAGCTTCTTAACCTTCCATTGATGGGCGGTTACCTGGCACTCTGGGATACTGAACTGGGTATGCATTTTCCAGGGGGCAAATTCTCAAGCCATAGAAGGAACAAAAAAAAAGATCAGTGGCTTAAAGACAAAAAAGTCATGGTCTTTAAAGGCAACCAGTAGTAACATAACACTCTGGCTCCAGGTTGAGGCCCTCAGGCTTGTCCTCCCCATAGTGCCTATTTCCTAAAGGCCTCTCAGCCTAGGTCTTGAAGGAGATGCTACATACCAAGTGGGAAGGGCTGGACTGGCTGTGGAAAATTCTGGAAGTGCCTCATTGTCTGACTTTACCTGTGCCCTTTTCCAGGAGGATGAATTCTGCGATGCTGGGAGGCAGAGAGGTAGGCATCACCCAGTGTCCCTACAGCTTTTGTGTGTCTGTCCCATATTCAATGCCCAGCTCCCAGCCGGGGTGGGCTTTTGAGCCAGCTGGGGCCTGCATGGAGCTCATTGCTTGGGACAGAAGAGGGACTGTGGCTGCTGGGTGGGTCTAGGTCATCTAGGTCATGGTGATCACCCCCAGGCTTTGCCTCAGTGTCTTGAGGCATCATTTGCTGGAAATGAGCCCATTTGCCTCCCTCAGTGCAGGCTGGGCTTGGGTGAGGTATCTCTGGGTGTCTGAAACTTGTGGTAGGGAAGGAAACGTCTCAGAAACCTGAGAGATGATGAACCCTCTAGCCCATCTTCTCTGTTCCTTCTGGGCTTCATTGTGTCCAGTTTTCCCCATTGCCAGCCCAGAACTGTTCCCTCCACCTCCATGCTGGGGCTCTTGGAAGCTGCATTACATGTAGGAGTGTGGCAGCAGACACCCACTGATCTTGGCAATGCAGAGCAGCCTGTCAGGTGGACCCAAGCTCATCTCAAGAGAGAAGCCATCACTCTGTAGGTTTCATGAGTTCCCAGGGCAGGAGTCTGACCTAAAAGCCCAAAGCAAGCAGCAAGAGAGAGCAAGGTCATACCCCTTGGAGAGACCTGGAAAAGTAGCCTGAGCCACAGTTGCCTTGGGCTCTCCCAACAATCATAACCCTGGCTCTCTGCTCCCTAGGTTGTCTCTGCCCCTATTCCCTGGGTCGGTCCATAGTTGATTACCCCAAGGATCCCAGGCTGGCCCTGTGTCCATCAATGGTGAAGGCCTTTGGCCTAGCCGACCTTTTGAGGTCCCCCACCCCCAATGGATCGGAGCAGCTGTGTCTGTAGTGCAGGACTACACCAAGTGTTCAGCCGCTCATGTAGCCGGGTAAATGCTAAAGCAAAGGTGACGTGTTTGTTGCGCACAGGTCCTGCTACCTACCCGGGATGACTTTGCTATTAAACAGCAGTCATAGTTTCAGGCAGTGACCTCTTGCCAAAATTCCCACACGCCCTTTTGAGAGGCTTCTGAGCAGCGCCCGCCGGTCGCCATCTTCGTGGGACAGTCTCGGGACTGGCTTCAGGGGTAGGGGTCACAGTTCAGATGCTTATCCAACATTTTTCAGCATCCAACCTTTGGCCTGGGCCTTAGCACCTGGCCTGGCTTCATACTGGGATGCTGGCCGCATGGCTCTCCCAGGAGCTCCTGCGCTGGCCCCAGGGGGCCCATGGGAGGACCAACTGGTCTCTTCCCGTTTTTGTTTCCAGGATTGCTTCCCATGCAGCCTGAGAAATCAGAAAGCCCTAGGTTGGCAGTTTTTGTTAACAGGAGATAGAGGATGGGCCAGCAAGGACTGTTGATCCTGCTGGGGCCCTAGCTCAGACAAGGCCAACGGGGACTGTCATCGTGGCCCACCAAGAGGTGGGGAAAGAGGGCGGTAGAGTGGCTTGCTTTCTTTTCTAAGCCAGCTGTTGCCACGGTCTGGAGAGAACTCTCCTTAAATGACAGTGGGAGAAGACTCAGTGACGGAACACCAGGTTGGGCAGCCAGGCTGGGGCAGGACAGCAGGCTGGCCATGTCAATGGGATGGGCAGGCCCATCCCATCCTGCCAGCTGTAGGAGAGGTGACTCCTCTGGGTCCTCAGCAAAGGCTCTTGTCCATCGGGAGCCTTTGACACCCCTCAGTGCCTTGGGGTGTCTTGGACCTGCCATGCTGTGGAAATGGAGGCCAGGCATAGGGTGCAGTAGCCAAGCTGCAGCCCGTGAGGCTCTGGAGCTAGTGTTTCTGCTGGCCCCTCAGAGCATCTTGAAGGGACTTTTCTGTTACAGGAGACAAAGAGGATGAGGATGAGGAAATGAAGAAGAGACGGGAAAAGCAAAGGAGGAGAGACAGGATGCGGGACCGAGCAGCTGACAGGTGAGGAGCCAGTGGGGCAGGACCTGGACAGTGTCCATGCTCTGCTGAGCTCACCTGTCCTCAGTGCAGGGGAGCCTGGCTTGATCTGGCTCCAGGTGTCAAATATTAGCCAATTTTGGGGGGATGAAGTTTGGGAGAGTTAGAGTAGGGGGAAATAGATGAAGTTAGGTGTCTGCTCTTGCTTGAAAAATTGATTTCTCTGGCTGACATTGGGCCTCTAGAATTGTATCCTTGCTAATGGGTTTTTGTAATAATATGCCCAGCAGAGAACTCCCTCCCTCCTCAGTAAGTCAAAGGGGTGAGGGGTGTTCTGTCCCAAAATTTGGTATTTGGCACACTAAAATATGATCGTCATTTAAAAGGTGCCTTGGTGCCCTGTCCAAATCCAAACCATTTCTGGAGTTCAACACGGGAAAAAACGTGTAGTTGGCCCTACCATCTAGATACTGTGGAAGAAGAATAAGAAAACACAAAGGCTAGGCACAGTGGTACATGCCTGTAATCCCCAGCACTGAGGGAGGGAGGAGGATCAAAGTATGAGTCCCACCTGGGCAGTTTAACAACATTGCAACACTCTGATGCCCCCCCTGAAAAAAAAGTGGAGGGGAGACACAGGAATTTAGAAGTATACCTGGGTTCAATCTCTAGTGCTGCAAGAAGAAAAAAGCATTTAAAAAGACCAAGACCAGGGCTGGGAATTTAGCTCAGTGGTTCCTCCACCTCCCTCACAAGCTCAAGGTCCCAAGTTCGATCCCTGGTACCAAAAAAAAAAAAAAAAAAAAAA